GCTGCTAGGCTTAGAGGACCTTCTCAGCTCGTGTGTAGTGGCAGCATGTGTATGTCCTCTGTCAACAACATGCTCCATAATGCTGAAGCCCCTGAATCATGCAAAATGGAAATTTAGTGATAAAAGACTTCAATATAGAAATTTACAAATGTTAAAGGATGAAGAACTCTTGGAAGCATGGTTTTAAATATTGGACTAATTCTATTATTTTTCTTATAAAGCTTGTTAAACCAGTATGACTATATAGCACTTGGAAGAGATGAGGATAGGATAGGAGAACCGAGTGAAGGAATGATGCTCAATCTCATTTGGAACATCAGGGATCATACGTCGACTTACAAGAAGCAAGGCGGTCGCTGAACCGACCAGTCTACCGTAAGTAGATGGACTATTGTACTTAATGATGATCCTTTAGCCAGGTAATGTTAAGCCATATCTGTGAGTGCATAACTTATGTACTCAAATGACAAATCATAAGTTCTTAAGACATTTTTGAAGTTGGTGACAAGTTGCAAGACCAAGAAGAGTGGAACCTTGTGATTGGCTTAAACATCATCATGCTACCATCTTTTATAAATTTTGAAATATAAATACTGTACAGTAAGTATGCTAGAAATAGAGTGCAGATTTCTCCAAAATTCTTTCCTAAACTAAATCAAATATGCTCTAGCAGCTACTTATGGCAGGGAAGAGATATAAAATAAATCTCTAGAGGGGTATATTAATGTCACGCAGGCAAATTGCCTCGTAACAAGGGTGGATATAAATAGATGCCGTCTCAAATGAGCCAATAAACCTTCTACTGTAGTTTCTTATATTCTTAAATTTGTATGCAGTCACCATAAGATAATCTTTACTGTAAGCTATTTATCAATTTTCAAAGTTAAATTTGCAAGTAAATATTTATTATTCTTAGATTCTCTCAACCATATTTTAATGAAGCATGACATTATTGCCAAACACACTTCTGATGAAAAGTCTTACAGTATCAACTTTATCCAACAGTAGCATCCCGTGCACTTTTAGTCACCGATATACCAGCTATAAGTAGATTTGATTAGGTTTGACTAATTTTACTCATATGATTTTTTCAAGATACAGGACATCCATTATTATTCATTTCCCGAGCACTTCCTCATGAATCAATAAAACTTACTGTGCAAAGAACGGGTAAGCCTGTGGTCCATGTCGAAGTAGATTGTTGAAGACTGTCCAAGTGGTGTATCCAGATCCTAGTGTAATGGTTATGAGCCCAACAGCACAGGCACACACCCACCAAGCTCCTCCCCCACTCAGGCACACACATACAGGGCACCAAACCACGCATGAACCAGCAGCCCAAATTGCTCCACGAATCCATCTGTTTAAAGTAGAGTTAATGCTTGATGAAGCTATTCTATAGGGTTGACAAGAGCTAATGAATGTGCATACCTTTGTCATTTTTATGAAGTTAAATACACATGCAATAATTCAATAACCCAACCCATACATGAAAAGCAAGGAATATGACAGCGTTCCGGTCAGCTCTATCAAGTCACAACTGCTGCGAATTGACAAGGGTCCAGGACGGGCCAAAAAGTTCATTGCATTCCTTTCTTTTCATGTGTGGATTGGGTTATTTATTTTCAGCCATCTGTGACATTCTCTACTTGCATATACAGTATTGTAATAATGAATAAATATTTAAACTGATAAGAACTCTCAGCATCAAATTACATCACATCAATAATTATTTGAGTCTTATCAAGCATTCATTTAGTGTGATACACAACAATACCTGCAATAATCTCATGTGTAGTGTAGTTAAAGAGCATAACCTTAAAAATAGAGCATTAAGTGTAATGAAATTCCTCTTTCTGCATGGCCCCCTCAGTAGTTTCCCATGCGTAACTGCACAGGCACCTCACGGCCATACAGTCGAGTGCACCCTCAAATCCAGACCTCCCTACAATGAATCCCTCTAAAGACTGGACAAAATTCACCTATGTTTTCCCTCTGAAATTTAGATTTCTAAAAACAAACCTGGATGCTGGAGAAAAAAGGTAAGACATTGAAATCTAGATCAACTGTAAAATAATTTCCATCATATTTAGTATTATTATTTTCTAGTTTCATTTTTCTATTTGTTCAATACTGTATATATTATTTAAAATAATGCATTTATATTTTTTAAATGCTTTACCAAGCTTAAACTCATATGTATTATAAATTGCACATACTATACAAGTTTTGTTTTTGTATTATTTTGTCTAAGGTATCCAGACCCATTGTGAGGGCACGCGTACCGATACATGTAGTTTCCTCGTGTGGTCTGGTCTCTTGTTATATTCATGCATTTTCATTAGTTTTGCTTCAGATATACAGTATTATTATTTGGAAGTGAAGCCATGTAACACTGCAAGAGTAGTGTGGGATACATTACACAAGGCTGAGAGGAACTGTGCTGAACTGTACTATGGAAAATATGGCCAAGTTATTAGATAAACGTGATCTTGGCTTAGCAGGAAAGAGGATGGAAGTGATGTTTCTGGTACTATACTGTTCTACCAATGTTTCTGACATAAAAGCAAAGGAAGCAGATCATATAGTTTATGAATAAAATAAAGAGCACTGATGAAAGATGGGGCAAAAAAATGTTACAACCTTCTAAGCTTGGGGAATTTACACACTGTTGCTTACCAATGATGTATGAAAAACTGTAGCCAGGGGGTGAACATTTAGTCTGTAGCTAAGAATGCTATTAACCATGGGCACTGAGAACTTCAAGGCCAGTTCAGGGTGACAGCAAAAGTTTAACAGTCAACATGACACAGTGGGGAGCCGGTCGGCCGAGCGGACAGCACGCTGGACTTGTGATCCTGTGGTCCTGGGTTCGATCCCAGGCGCCGGCGAGAAACAATGGGCAGAGTTTCTTTCACCCTATGCCCCTGTTACCTAGCAGTAAAATAGGTACCTGGGTGTTAAGATAACAAGTGCTTTAGGTTCATTGTGTGTTATCAAGACCAGCCTATATGGTGAATAAATAATTTACATATTTTTTGTGTGAATACTGTAATTATTAATAAACAAAAATCCACTATTTATATATCATTTGTGTATACATAAAACTGACTATCACTTCCAAAAAGAAAATTCTGAAAAATTTGGTGATAAATACAGTAGCTCAAAACAAGGGAAATGTCCAGAAATCTGGATTTGAAGACAAATTAATATTGGTTCTAGAACGACACACAGTACAGTAATCTGTATTTTGGAGGTGTGCATGTATTAGCCACTTCAGGCTTCTGGGACAATCGCCACCTACTGGAAGCAAGTACCATTACACACTGACTATTAGGTGAAGAGCTAGCATTTGGGGACAGCCATATTGTTTCAGTACCATAAGCTCTGGTGAGCTCCAAGGGGTGGCACCAGTAGAGTAAATAGTTTTCACGTCTATAAACTATAAGCTGTGATACTTTCTCTGCAAACACGAAACAAATACTACTCAGAGAACAAGATGTCACAGATTCAAACTAGGGGAATAACACTGCTAAAAACATTAGAACATTCTCTTTTACAAACAGTGGTAGACGGTTGGAACAAGTAAGGTGATGAAGTAATTCTCTAAAGAAGGCACCAAGCCAAGAAGATCATGTAGCAAGGAGGTGATGGAGACCAAAACAGTCACTAGTTCCAAAGCATCACATGACAGTACTGGGAAGACGGGACACCACGAGCACAACTCTCATCCTGTAACTACGCTTGAGTAATTATAGGTAGGACTAACCTCGACATCTTGGCTACATACATAAATGGCTGTCAAGGAACCATCTTTGTTTCTGTTTTTAATTTGTTTCTGGATAATGGCACCATCTGTGAAGAGAAAATATTGTTGAAAGGAGTACTGTACTCCATACAGACAGACATCATTTATTGATTTAATCACCAAAATGTGTACTTTCACAATGCATTATAACCTCTTGTATAAATCATTGTGTCAGGGACAGGCAGCCAGAGTATATATACATGTTACACTTATTTAAATATACACCTTGACATAAATTTACAGTACATTGAGGTCACCCCCAACCCAGATCGAATTACAGACCCTCCCCAGGATGCAACTCAACAACAAGCTGACTAACTCCTGGGTACCTATTTACTGCTAGTTGAACAGAGGCATTAGGTGATAGGCAACGTGCCCAATCAATTCTGTCCCACCCGAGATTTAAACTCAAAATTCCCAATTGAGAGCAGAAAACGAAGCTACTGTACTCAACTAAAATACTGTAAATTCTAAATAACTAAATAAATTCTACAATACACATATGAAATAATAGTATTAAGTTGTAGTCTTTAATGTTTTTCCTGCCCGAAACGCTTTGCGTAATAGTGGCTTTAGGCATTGTTTGTACTAGCTCTATCTATAAATCTATAAATTTTTGTATAACCTCTTGTATGTATGTACTTTACCTGAATAAACATTTATTTATTTATTTATTTATTAATACAAGTTTGTAAATAAAACATATGAATAGTGAAGTGGTCTACGTCTTCGGCGCACAACCATTAGCCCCAGGTTCAGTCCCCAAACGGGATACAAATGGTTGGGTACATTTCCTTTCACCTGATGCGTTTTTTCACATTCAATAGGTACCCAGAAGTCTGGGAACTGTTGTGGGTTGCATCCTAAAGGAGGTCAGTAGTTGGCCTAGAAGGACCTGGACGAGCCTTGAAGGATTCCCCTTAACAAATATAACAAACCATACGGTAAACCCTAAAATAAGCATTTTTGTTTTAAATTATAAAGGAACTAATTAACTGGTAATAGAATCTCATTAACCAAGTTAATGTTTCTAAAGCTAATATCTAATAATATTAAGAAAAATACAGCATTTGAAAAGAGGTTACAAAATACACTACTGTACAGTAAGAGAGTACAGCATGATTTGGATACAGTAACCATATGGTAAGGTAAGTGCATGGAATGAGCAGAGAAAAATGTTTATGTGTAAAAAAATGCCTCAGCACCACATTGGATATCCCAGGCCTCTTCCTAACATATAAATAATGCTTAGATGTTGGCAATAGATCATAGATCATTGGCAATAAATCCTTTAATCAAATAAATCTCAAAATAAACAATACCCAAATTTGTAACAAATTAGATGGCAAATTCCTTGGCATTCTCATTGACCACAAGCTGAATTTCCAGGGACACATTCTAAATATATAAAAAAAAGTTTCAAAAACTGTTGGCATTCTTTCTAAGATCAGATATTATGTACCCCGCCCTGCCCTGGTGACTCTCTATTACTCCCTCATCTATCCATATCTCAACTATGGTATTTGTGCTTGGAGTTCTACTACCCAAAATCATTTACGTCCTCTAATTACTCAACACAAAGCTGCTATTAGGACAATATCCAACTCTGGCCCCAGACATCACTCAGTACCCCTACTCAAATCTTTGAATATGTTAGATATTAAGTCACTGCATATTCTCTCATGTGTATTATACATATATAAAACGCTGAACTGTAATGCCAATCCTGACCTCAAAAGCTTCATAGAAGGTTGTAACAGAACCCATGAGCACCACACCAGAAATAAATACAGTTTTGATATTCCTAGAGTACAACTTAATCAAACTAGAAATGCTCTACAAATCAAGGGACCCAGATTGTGGAATGACCTTCCCAACCATGTTAAAGACTGTACCCCTCTCAACCAGTTTAAGATAAAAACGAAGCTATACCTAATAAATTCCCTGTAACCTACCTTACCCCTCTATTGTCAGTCTTTTTTTTTTTTTTTTTTTTAAATGACGCTGTTTGTCGACCGAATTGTATTTGTGCTGCTTTTTCTGCCATGTTCCCCCCTTCTTATCTCTTTTTTTTTTGTTTGTTCTCAACTCATTTTATTCTTTATGCTCAATTAGTATTAAGCTTTAGTTATTTAAGTTTTTCATGCCCGAAACGCTTTGCGTAATAGTGGCTTTAGGCATTGTATGTACTAGCTTTATCTATAAATTCATCACTCTTTGTAAAATCTCTTGTATGTATGTACCTTACCTAAATAAACATTTGATTTGATTTGATTTGATGTTTGTTGGTCAGTCAAGACTTGAGTTAATCCAGAGAAAGCATTACACGTTGTCTAACGTGGCCTGCTTCCCTATGACGAGTGAAGAGCAATCCCTGACCCTTCTTTCCTTCTGCCCATTATATCAATCAAATTCTAACTCCCAGGTATGTATTTACTGCTAGGTGAACATGAGCATCAGGGTGAAAGAAACATTTTGCCCATTTGTCTCCACTTCCACCGGGGATCGAACCCGGAACCTCAGGACTATGAATCCGAACCGCTGTCCACTTAGCTGTCAGGTGCCTCGTCGTGGTCGAGGCACCTATATGCTGTCACCCCCAGTTCCAGCTCTGCGTTCCATCCGAGTACTATTTTGGTGCCTCCCAAGTGCCTCCCAATGTACTATCTCAGTTCCACTCATGTGGCACCCACTGCCACTTCATGTGCCACCGCAGTGTCTCCACAGTGCCACCAGTCTCCCCACCGTGCTACCTTACATACCACCCCGTGTGTGCCGCCCCGCAGACCGCCCCCTGTGTGCCGCCCCACGGACCGCCCCCTGTGTGCCGCCCCACGGACCGCCCCGTGTGTGCCGCCCCACGGACCACCCCGTGTGTGCCGCCCCACGGACCATCCCGTGTGTGCCGCCCCACGGACCGCCCCCTGTGTGCCGCCCCACGGACCGCCCTGTGTGCTGCCCCACCCGCCCTGTGTGCCGCCCCACGGACCGCCCCGTGTGTGCCGCCCCACGGACCGCCCCGTGTGTGCCGCCCCACGGACCCCCCCCGCCCCCCGTGTGTGCCGCCCCACGGACCACCCCCCGTGTGTGCCGCCCCACGGACCGCCCCCCGTGTGTGCCGCCCCATGGACCGCCCCCCGTGTGTGCCGCCCCACGGACCGCCCCCCGTGTGTGCCGCCCCACGGACCGCCCCCGTGTGTGCCGCCCCACGGACCGCCCCGTGTGTGCCGCCCCACGGACCGCCCCGTGTGTGCTGCCCCCCGTGTGTGCCGCCCCACGGACCACCCCCCGTGTGTGCCGCCCCACGGACCGCCCCCCGTGTGTGCCGCCCCACGGACCGCCCCCCGTGTGTGCCGCCCCACGGACCGCCCCCCGTGTGTGCCGCCCCACGGACCGCCCCCCGTGTGTGCCGCCCCACGGACCACCCCGTGTGTGTGCCGCCCCACGGACCGCCCCCCATGTGTGTGCCGCCCCACGGACCACCCCGTGTGTGTGCCGCCCCACGGACCTCCCCGTGTGTGTGCCGCCCCACGGACCACCCCGTGTGTGTGCCGCCCCACGGACCACCCCGTGTGTGTGCCGCCCCACGGACCACCCCGTGTGTGTGCCGCCCCACGGACCACCCCGTGTGTGTGCCGCCCCACGGACCACCCCGTGTGTGTGCCGCCCCACGGACCACCCCGTGTGTGTGCCGCCCCACGGGCCACCCCGAGTGTGCCGCCCCACGGACCACCCCGTGTGTGCCGCCCCACGGACCACCCCGAGTGTGCCGCCCCACGGACCACCTCGAGTGTGTGCCGCCCCACGGACCACCTCGAGTGTGTGCCGCCCCGTGTGTACCGCCCCACGGACTACCCCGTGTGTGCCGCCCCACGGACCACCCCGTGTGTGCCGCCCCAGGGACCACCCCGTGTGCCACACACCCCACACACCTGCCACACACACACCTGCCACCACACACACACCTGCACACACACACACACCTGCCACACACACACACACCTGCCCCACACACACACACCTGCCCCACACACACACACCTGCCCCACACACACACACACACCACACACACACACACACACCTACCACACAAACACACACACCTGCCACACACACACACACACCACCTACGCACCTGCCAGCCGTCAATAAAGTGTAAACAAACCCACCTTCCTGCCCCCTGTCAAGAGTGAGGGAGAAGAGCAGTGTGGAGGGCCTCACCAGCAGCTCCCCCTCACACCTCACACCTCACAATGAGAGAGAGAGAGAGAGAGAGACAGGTGTGTGTGAGTGTGTGTGTGGAGCAGGCGCCTGTAACCAGCTTGTGACGCCTGGGCTCACGCCCCCTGCGGGTTCGAATCCCTCTTTTTCTTTCTCTCCGGACACATATCATCTCCTCCTATACCGTATATGATGACTTATATTCACTTATATCTACGGAGATGTCAAGAACAACATGGCACAGGGGTTAATTATAGCTTAAACTGAGTTTGGTACATTTCATATAGGCAATAATACGGTATATATGTATTTCTATATCTTATATTATATATATATATTTCCATTGATATATTTCCAATTGATATATTATTATATATCTATGATGATATACATGATAGCTATGATATATATATATATATATATATATATATATATATATATATATATATATATATATATATATATATATATATATATATATATATATATATATATATTATATATATTATACGGCATATAATAAGATTGTAAAGTGTTATCATGAAGGAGGACACAGCCTCGGCCCGACCTGGAACAATTATTATTTTTGCCTGAATTTACCTGAGTACTACTCTTTCTATAGTGGCCTCAAAGGGGACAGGAATCCAGAGGCTTGTCAAAAGGTCCCACATTGTTCCCGAGGACTTTTTCCAGCTGGATTTTGAACTGAAGTATAGTTTTGGCATTTACGGCTTGGGCGGGTAGGCGGTTCCATGGGGTTAATAACCCAATGGGTGAAGAAACATCTGCTGTTCTCAGTCCAACATTGTGGCTTGTTGAGCTTGAACCCGTTGCTCCTTTGAAGAAGAAGTTGTCCGGATGAACACCCTCCAAAATTGTGCAAATTTGCGTTATATGACAAAGAGTGCTGGGAAGACGGGACACCACGAGCTTAGCTCTCATCCTGTAACTACACTTAGGTAATTACTTGATGGGGGGGGGGAGTGGTGTGCAGGACAAACATATCAATTGTGACACTAGCTCTCCTCATATGTCAGTTGCTTCATTAAGAAACTGTACTTGTGGTCGGTCTCGAGCTTATTGGTGATGTGTATAGAATTGTGTAACTAGTTCATCAAGATATGTAACTTGCTTAGCTAAATGAATTGTGGGGTTCAGTCCCTGAGCCCATTATGTGCCTCTGTAACCCTTTCCACTACCGCCCACACGATGGGTATGGGGTGCATAATAAATGAAGTAAAGTAAACCTCCAGATTGTTCAGTATTATAAAAGTTTCAGTGAGATCAACCCTGTGATGCCTGGTGTGCAGTATCAGCCCTGTGGCCCTCAACCGTTCCTGATACGAGAGTTAACTTAGCTCTGGAATGACTTTTGTTGCCCGGTGTTGCACCTTCTCCAGAGCAGCTGTGTCCCTCTGAAGATAAGGTCTGCATGCTTGCATGCAATAATACAGGCGGGGGCGCACCAGAGACTTGTACAATTGAATTGATTTGTAATGTTGTTAGCCCTATACTCATCTAGTTGTGCTTGAAGTGGTTGGACTTCGGCTCTTTCTTCCCGCCTCTCAGCTGTCAGTCAACTGGTGTACAGGTTCTGTGCACATGTGGCCCTCAACCTTTCCTGGTACGAGAGCTGTGGCTTCTGGAATGGATTTTGTCGCTCTGAAGTTGGTTTCTGCAAAAGTCTTCATGGTTGAATACAGTAGTTTAGATGGGGCGCACCAGAGAGTTGAATAAGTTTTTTATATATTTATTTTTTTTACTTTATTTATTTATATATATACAAGAAGGTACATTGGGTTTATGAGAGCACATAGCATTGATGTTTTTACATTCTTGTAAAACCATTAACATGCATAGTGTTTCGGGCAGATAATCTAACAGATAATTCCTTTTCCTTGAAGTCAAAGATTCGTTTGAGTATAAGGTTTAGTTATATGATTTCAATGAAGCTAACACTTCCAAAGAAAATTTTACCAGAATTTTCACCTGATGTTTCTGTTCACCAAGCTGTAAATAGAGATAGCTGAGAGAGAGACTACTCTTCATGTTAGTTGCATCCTGGGAAAGGTCAGTAGTTTGACCTACAGAGGTAAGGGCCTCGATGCACGCCTATACGTATACAGGCTTCCTGTCCCTGATAACGGGTATGATATTAATAAGTGACAAGAAATTATAATTTGCCAAAAATTTTGGCTTGTAACGGTATAAATATACATTCAGGTAAATTATTGTAAGGTAATTTAGTCTGTATTTTGTATAAATAAAATATATTGTTATTATTATCATTATTATTATTATTATTATTATTATTATTATTATTATTATTATTATTATTATTATTATTATTATTATTATTTATTAATATTATTATTATTATTATACGAGTCACATAATGGTCGTCAGAAGCGTTTACTCGCACGAGACGTTGGTTGAGAGAGTTTGTATCTACCAAAGGTGTTTCATTTGCTGGAAGTGTTCGTTGTGGCGTGTGTGTGTATAGTGGTGGTTATCTGCCAGTAGTTAAGAGCAATTAACTCCCTTAACTACCCCCGCGGTGATTGGTCAGAGGTGTAGTGTATCAGCGGACACAGTACCACTCACAAGCCCTCAAGTGTCAATGGTGATACCTTAAGTGATGCTTCTCTAGTTAAGTAGGCCTAGGCTACTGTGCTTGACCCGGTAGGCCTAGGGTACAGTGCTTGGCTCAGTAGGCCTAGGCTACAGTGCTTGGCTCAGTAGGCCTAGGGTACAGTGCTTGGCTTCAGTAGGCCTAGGCTACAGTGCTTGACTCAGTAGGCCTAGGTAGTTCTGGGCACGATTATAGGGCCCTTACGCACACCGCTTGTTTCGTTCATTATCCTTTTAAAGGTTATTTTTTCTTATTTGTAGCTGCTTTATGTATGTCCACTATAATAGACTTTCAACAATATTTGTCTAGGCCTATACAGGGTACAAAACCAGTGACCTCGTTAGATCTTAATTCCTCATGTCGGGGGACAGGAAGCCTGTGTATACCTGTCGCTCGTTATTAGCTAACTAACGGTACCTATTTACTGCTAGGTGAACAGAGGCATTCGGTGAGGGAAGACGTGGCCAGCCATTTCTGCCCTGCCCGGGAATCAAACTCGGGTCCCCGGGTTGTGAGTCGGGAACGAAGTCGACAGAGGTGAAGGGAGAGAATTATCAAGGGAAAGCGCCAAGCCATTACGACTATAGCACCTGGAAGGGGTCAGGATAAGGATTTGGGATGGGACGGGGGGAAGGAATGGTGCCCAACCACTTGGACGGTCGGGATTGAACTCCGACTTGCATGACGTGAGACCGTCGCTCTACCGTCCAGCCCAAGTGGTTGGACCCTACAGGGGTGGAGAGATCCTAGACGAACATGAATGTCACGCAGTGGTAGAAGGTGAAGGTTGGTGTGGTGTAGGGTGGAGGGGGGCCAGGGGTTAGGTTATTATTGTACTCACCTAGTTGTGCTTGCAGGGGTTGAGCTTTGGCTCTTTGGTCCCGCCTCTCGACCATCAATCTACTGGTAATTACCTAAGTGTGGTTACAGGATGAGTTACGCTCGTGATGTCCCGTCTTCCCAGCACTCTTTGTCGTACTAAGTATAACGCTTTGAAACTACTGATGGTTTTTACCTCCACCACCTTCTCACCTAACGTGTTCCAACCGTCTACCACTCTGTTTGCGAAATTTAATTTCCTTATATTCCTTCTGCATCTTTGTTTAGTTAGTTTATATCTATGACCTCTTGTTCTTGAAGTTCCAGGTCTCGGGAGTTCTGCCCTATCAATTTTACTGATTCCTGTTACTATTCTGTATGTAGTGATGATATCTCCTCTTTTTTGTCTTCTAGTTTTGGCATATTTAATGCCTCTAACCTCTCATCATAGCTCTTGTTCTGTACAGATTCCTGAGCCTACTGGGCTCTTATCATATCTACATTTGAAACTGTGTATGGAGTCAGCCTCCACCACATCACTGCCTAATGCATTCCATTTGTTAACTACTTTGACACTGGAAAAAGTTCTTTCTAATGTCTCTGTGGCTCATTTGGGTACTCAGTCTCCACCTGTGTCCCCTGGTTCATGTTCCACCCATGCTAAAGAGTTTATCTTTGTTCACCCTGTCAATTCCCCTGAGAATTTTGTAGGTGGTTATCATGTCTCCCCTTACTCTTCTATTTTCCAGGGACTGGAGGTTCAGCTCCCTAAGCCTTTCCTCATAGTTCATACCTCTCAGTTCCGGAACTAGTCTGGTGGCATACCTTTGAATCTTCTCTAACTTTTTCTTGCGTTTAACTAGGTATGGATTCCAGGCTGGAGCTGCGTATTCCAGGATTGGTGTGATATAGGTGGTGTCCTGAAGGTCCTGAACGATTCCTTACACACGTTTCTAAAGGCAGTTCTTATGTTGGCCAATCTTGCATATGTCGCTGATGACATCCTTTTGATGTGGGCCTCTAGGGACAGGTTCATTGTGATATCAACCCCCAGATCTTTCTATTTGACTCTTGTAGAATTTCACCTCCCAGATGGTACCTTGTGTTCAGCCTTCTGCTTCCTTCATCTAATTTCATTACTTTGTACTTTCCTGAGTTGAACTTTAGCAGCCATTTTCTAGACCATTCCTCCAGTTTGTCCAGGTCATCCTGTAGTCTCTGTCTATCTTCATCTGTCTTGATTCTTCTCTTAATTTTTGCATCATCAGCAAACATTGAGAGGAATGAGTCTATTCCCTCTGGAAGATCGTTTACATATACAGTATTAGAAACAAGATGAGTTCAAGTACAGAGTCCTGTGGGACTCCACTGGTGACATCTCGCCACCCTGATTTCTTTCCCCTCACAGTTACTCATTGTTACCTGTTGCTTAGATACTCCCTTATCCACTGAAACCCCTTACCTTTCTCTCCTGCCTGTTGCACCAACTTTTGTAGCAGCCTTTTATGGGGTACTGTGTCAAAGGCTTTCTGACAGTCCAAGAAAATGCAGTCTGCCTATCCTTCTCTTTCTTGCTTAATTTGTGCTGCTTGATCATAGAATTCTATTAAACCTATGAGGTATGATTTATCATTTCTGAACCAATGGACATTGTGGGTTGCACCCTGTGGACGGTCAGTCGTTGCCTTGGGGTGGTAGTGGTGGTAGGGGGAGGGGTGGGGGACCTCGATGAGCCTAATAGGCTTCCTGTCCCTTGATAACAGGAAAACATTCAGATTGATTTTTAAATAATACAGTAATTGCGTATCTGTTTCTTTTAAATATATTAAAGGTCATGAAGCATTTAATTGCATATATGGGAGGCTCTTCTACACTTTAGAACCTTTTATTGTATTAGCGTGGTACTGTAATTCTGCTTTAATTGTCTTAAGTTTATTTCGTTATGTCTACAAGACATTAAACAGCTGCATACCATTAATTGTTCACTGTTGGGCTCCTGTATACTTGTACACCAACTGAATTACCATTGTGGCTGCCACATTCTCGTATATACTGTAATTACAGCATCTATGATTTACAAAATTACAACTGAAAGTTTGTATCTCATCATTGTTTAAATTTGTTCACGAGCCAAGTTAAAAAAAAATATTTGGAAGATTGAAAGATCTCTGCAGGCCTTTTTATGTAAAGTTTTAATAGCCAAAAATTTATGTATTATTAATAAATCCCTGTGGCAGTCCCCCGTGGTGTAGGGGTAAGACACTCCTGGCATTTCACGAGCACTTTGGCCTGGGTTCGTATTCTGGCAGGAGAGGATTTACTAGGCACCAATCCTTAACTGTAGCCTGTTTACCTAACAGTAAAATGGGTACCTGGTTGTTAAACAATTTGACGGGTCGTATTCCAGGGAATATTAGGATTAAGGACTTACCTGAAACACTGTGTGTGCTAGTGGCTGTACAAGAATATAAGAACTGTTGTATATATATATATATATTAAAAAAAAAATTACCTTTTTAGCAATGAACAACACTTGTGTAAACTGCTCTGACCTCGGAGGAGCTGAGTATGTTATAATTCATGTGGGTGCAGTAGGTCTCTTGGTTGGCAAGCCAGCTTGTGGAAACCTAATATGGGATTTTGGTAGCTCATTTCTAGTAATGTATGTTGTACTGTTTGGCAGAGGACAACTGTTGAATGCTATTTCACATTGTTTATTGTCTTTTTTAGTCAGACCCATTTGTTCCTTATAAAACAAATGGTTGAACACGTTTCAAATCGCTTATTGCCTCTGTTCACCTAATAGTAAATAGGTATCCAAGAGTTAGCTTGTTGTGGGCGATGCATCTTAGGGGAGGGTCAGTAGTTCCACCTTGAGGTGGGACCTCATTATAAGTAACATTGTACATACACATGCCCTCTCATATGTGCACTTGAGGCGAGTGATGCACAAATAGGGAAGTACATGCGCACACACACACACACTCAATGAGGGACCAATGAGCCAAAGCTCAACCCCCGCAAGCACAACTAGGCAAGTACACAGAGGGAATTGACCAAATTGACAAAAAGGTATTCCTGCAATAAGAAACTTCCAAGAATAAGAGGTCATAGATTCAAGCTAAGGAAACAAAGGTGCTGAAAGAATATTATAAAGTTTTCTTTTGCAAACAGTGATAGACAGTTGGAGCAAGTTAATTAAGTGCGAAAGTAGTGGAGGCCAAAAGCATCAATAGTTTCAGTGTGTTACATGATAAAAAATACTGTACTGGGAAGACGGGACACCACGAGCGTAACTCTCATCCTGTAACTACACTTAGGTAAAAACACAGGTAAAACACACACACACACATGTACATATGTACATACACAGGCTTTCTGTCCCCAATAAAATTACTTATTGTTATTGATTAATATTTAGCCTGAACTTTGTGGCTTTTCATTTTTGACATTTGGTCATGCCTGCATATATGTATCTCATAGGCCTATTTGCTTAAATGAATGTACTTTTTGCCTAATATTTTTTTGTATTGAAATACAATACGTAATAGATTAATTTTTTATTCATAGAACTACAACATGCATAGTAAAAAAGCTTTACACATTGTAATGTATGTGTGTGTTAAGTGTTAATAATAATGTAGAATTAAGGCTTCCATTTTCATATTAATTAATGAAACTGGATTTTGTTTTATTTATTAATGTACTGTACTGAGTAAATATTTAATGTATTGACTATACTGTACTCATACTGGGTACTATCTATACATTTATCTATTTATATTGTAAATTTATTTGTATATACTGTACTATGTTGATCTTGTAATAATTCTTTGTTAATAACATATGGAAAGCAATAGTATTTTTATTAATTTATGTAGGATATGTAAAAGGGTGATGTAGTATGTACTGGGTGAGTGTGATGACAAAACGAATGGCCAGTGGACAAACCCTTCATGCAAACTGCACCTACTATCAAAAAAGAAGAAAAGGAGTGATCCTTGACCATTCAGGGTTCACATTCTGGTGGGGTCAAATATTTGCTCACAATAGGAATACAGTATTAAACTGATGCTGTTGGCAGTTCTACGTGGCCATTTTGTATACAAGTTACCTGTTGGTGTGTTGAAAGTACTTATTGGCCTGTCATCAGCATCAGACAGTTTGTCTCCAAGCCGTGCTGGTGATATCTAAGCTCTCGTGACCTCGCTATAAAAGGTTGTGTTTTTCTGCACAATTCCTTTCTATATGGTTGGTATTCTTAGCTCCTCCCTCATGTTGATGATTCTTGTACATCTGGGAGCACCAAGCATTATCATCATGGCTTCATTTTGAATACACGTTTTCTAATTTTGTATAGTGCCGGGTTAAATTTATAAGGTGTAAGTCATGATAGTTTGATATCTAATGAACATCATGTAGAACATTCTGGCATACAGTCTGTATTACCTTTGATACAAATGTGGTTACAATGTTTTTTGAAAGTTGTAATCTTTCCTTGAGTTAGTAACCACTATTTGCAGTTTGTGGGTCAACATCCACAGATGTGTGGCGAGGGTTTAACTCCCACAGACGTGTGGCGGGGGTTTGGCTTCCCATCGGACGTTTGGCTGGGGTTCAGCTTTTCACCGGACATGTGGCAGGGGTACGGCTTACCACCAGACATGTGGCGGGGGTTCGGCTCCCCACCGGACGTGTGGAGGGGGTTCGGCTGCCCATTGGACGTGCGGCGGGGGGTTGGGCCTCCCACCGGATGTGCGGCGGTGGGGTTGGGCCTCCCACCGGATGTGCTGTGGGGGGTTGAGCCTCCCACCGGACGTACAGCAGGGGGTCGGGTCTCCCACCGGACGTGCGGCGGGGTGTCAGGCCTCCCATCGGACGTGCAGCCAGGGAGGGGGGCCTCCTACCGGACCTGCGGCGGGGGTTCACCTAAAGGTGCTAATCAACAGCTGTCAGTTCATTATTTGCCTTTAATTTCTAATTGAATGTCTAGTCATTTTACAAACGTGCTAATTTTTCATAAACTCACAAGAGCATTACTTATGTACAGGAATGCAGGTTCAATCCCATTACAGTTTATGGCTTCAAATTACCACATGCAAATTTCATTTCAGTGTGTGTTATGGCTTTTAATAAATTTAACACATTGATATGCTGCATATTTTTAAATTTCTTGGATGATTTTTTTTTTAAAGTTGATTATCTCGCTTTTAAGTTTTATCTTCAATTGGCATTTTAATCCATGTGTATACTGTACTTAGGTTATATATTACTGTATTTATTTTTAATTATATCTGTAATATTAACACCTTTGACAGTACAGTATCTCACTTTTAATATGGTACAATTATGATGTGCCAAAAGTCATCCGTTATTCATTAACTGAATGCACGCTGTCCATTTGGGACACCCGATCCCTCAATAGAATCCTTGATGAAACTGATATCTTTGATATCATTTGCTCCTTGTTCTTGTATTGGCATCCTGAGTGATCTTTTGTGCCTTCTGAATATCCCGCAACACACGGTGCTACATAGTCTTCCCGACTTGGTGCTTTCTGTTGATAATTACTCGATGCATGACTAAAGGATATTAAAAGATTAATTTTTGGATATAATTATATTAAAGTAATTATAAATTAATTACTTCAGACAATAAATATACCTCTTAAAATTCCTCACCCCGATGAAGATTTATGTAAATGATGAGATCCTTAAAATAAAGGAACACAAACAGTCTAAAGACAGCTTTAGAACCAGTCTACAGTCCTGATATGCCTTTTAATAATTACATAAATGAGTGCTCAGGCAAATATGAACTGGAAGTTCCTTACAACTTTAACTAGTCAGTATTAAAGCACTTATTTCATCTTATCACATTATTACAGTACATACCAGGAACAGAACTATGATCTTAGCTTACTTTGATGAAGCAGTACATGAAATGAACAGGAACAAGCACAAGAGAATATACAGCTTATGAATAAAATTGTCTGAGTTCTGTTAATGACAAGATTCTAAGTCTTTGGATTGTCATAACAAATTGACACTAACCTCTTTCTAGCTAAATGAAATATGTTACAGTCTTCAAATGGTACATATATACCTCACTTAGCCAGGACTTCTAAAACGTAAACATTATATCCACGTGAATCACCCGTTTTCATGCCTTGGGCAGCATACTCGTCGCATCATTATGCACTGGACTGATGTGAATATCCTACTTTAAGAAGTTTAGTTTGCAAGATGTTGGTAAGTGAGCAGTGATGGAAATGGATTTTGGGAGTTAGGTATACGCTGGTTTTGGGAGCTAGATATACAATGGTTTTTGGAATTACATGCAATATACGCTGGTTTTGGGATCTACGTTCAGTACTGTATACTGTATACTGGTTTTGGGAACGAATGAACAATATACACTGGTTTTGGAAACTAGGGACTGTACTGTTTATGTTAAAACCATCCAGGATTATACTCAGGGGATCACAAGGAGGTCCATCCATATTTAAACACACAATTTTAATTGGTCGAAATTTGACAAAGGCTAGTATCTCATTATTACAGAAATTTAACAAAAAATCTTGGAAATTGAGAGATAGGTATACACTGCACACCTACGCATACCTTCATTTCCATCACTGTAAGTGAGGTACTGATGTATACAATAACAGAGGCACCAGCAGCAACAGTGAGGCACTATGTGGCAATATGCTATAATTCCTATGATTGTTCAGAGGGTAACACTTGAATGTAACGACTATCACAAAATATCTCTCGAACAAGAAACTGTGATGTACAAACACAGCTTTGTCTTGCTTCCCCAAGCCATTAATAGTTGAGGAAGCATTAAGAGGAAGATAGGAATTATGCACAACAGTAGGTATACAACGCAAAGTGTATAGCACGTACACAGATGTCAAGTGCATGGGTCAAGAGTTAAAAACCGACATATTCATTATACTACTGGTTCATTGCAACTCGTATCTGTTTTGGTGTTCACTTTGCTCTTCTGGAAGGGCTATCGTGAGTGGCGCTCTGTTCCAGAGACCCACCATGTAATGTAATGAAGCACCAGAAAGATGGGCTTCATTACATTCAATGGTGGATTTGTTCTCCTAATTAATGACTTACCATCGGAACATAGCATAGATTGTTTTCAACCTCCCAAGTAAACAACCACAACCATATTTCCTCTTGAAGATAATTCCATGAATGTACTGTATTATGGTTGTAACAAGCTGTTTATCAACCCAAATCAGTGCTAGCAGTCAATAAAAAATACAAAAGTTGCATTGCAAATATATCCCCCCGAATATGATAGTATCAAAATTGTGAAGTAATTTATTTTGGCAAAATTACTGAATGCTGTAGCGAAAATCTTGTACAGTATCTATTCTGGACGGTGAGATTGACGCCATTTTGTAGCATATGTGTTTCATGCACGAACCAAACTAATGTTTTTTCAAGCTATAACATGAAAGAAAATGGGGAAAAAATTTACAGCACTGTGTACAATAACACCAAGTATAAACATGGATGACCATTTAATGTTTATTACAATTATTATCCTATAAATGACATTACAAAAATCAGTTTGAAAATTTACATATTTTTATGTATTATCTTGCTGTTAGTCATCAAGATAATATTGCTAGTAAAGGTACACTTTCTAAAATTACCTGCATCATATTACCTTCATTATAAGGTGTTTGTAGTTTTTTAATAATATATCGGCATGTAGAAAGCGGTCTCGATACTGTAGCCTACTCTTACGTGTGTTTATACAGGACTCTATATTCCAGTTAACTATCAATACAGGTATTTGCAAAATTGCAAAAATGACTGGAATCAAGATTGCTTATTCAAAATACAGTATCCTTAATTGTGCAGTGTATCAAGCTGCAAGGGGGTGCATAATATAGTTTTAATAGAGAAGGATTATCTTACAGAACTGTATAAATACTGTATAATGAAAACACACAACAGTAATAATCAAAGATTATTATTGTTATAAACAACCTCATAGAGCTTCGGTGCTCGTACGCTATTCAATAAAAATAAACAAAGCTGCCGTGACTGTTGAAAGATGTACAAGGTTCATAAGTGGTTGCATAAATGCTTGATGTGTCCTAGTCCTTTATTTCCATCCCTCTTAATGAAGATTACCAAGACGATAAGATAAATTTCACATCTTCCGAATGTATGCAGTTTATCTTCTACTTAGAAAGACTTAAAATCACGACAAACTACTGGACTGCAATAATCCATAAGCAAATTACTTTCTTGCAAGTCTAAACCTCTGTATATTCTTATATACTCAATTTAAACATATTCTAAATTATTTTAGGTAGATGGGCATGTGTTTAGTATCTTTTGGTAGGTTAAATTATTAAGCTTTAATTTTATACCAGTAGTGTTTGTAAATATGAGACACTGCTAACTTTTACTATCATATTTTGAAGGCAAATAAAGCTATACAAATACAGTATCTCGAGATATATCTTCAAATTCATAAAGTTAACCCAAGCTACTTGATTAACCTATCTTGAATATATAAGATTTGGTTAGAATATGTTAATTAATATTGCTCAGGTAATGTTAATCAGATTTAACTGGTTTACGTCTTAGGCAATGTAAACCAAGGGAATCCTATACAGTATATTCAAGATTGTCTAGAGAAGCTGCTGGCCAAGTGGCAGGATGCTGAACTGGCGATCACCATGCCGTGAGCTTGAGCCTGTGAGCTTGAGACTAGATAGTGTTCTTTGTAATGTACAGTATACTGTAGGGGTGAGTATATAAGTAGGTGTGTACAGTATATATATATATATTATGTATATATACACAGCATACTATATACACCTGTATACTGCACTTGTATAAAGTAAGAAGTTCAGACATCGAAAGAAACAATTTAAACGAAGGCATTTTGGTATACCTGTTGTTTACCTGTAGTGGGTTCCAAGAGTCCTACTCGAGGCTCGTCTTCTGATAACTTGATCTACAGTTTTAATCAATTGTATTTCTCTTAACTGGACATATTTAGAGCTCCAAAGGAAAGCAATAACAGTTCTATAGGGAACTATTCTATTCATGATACCATCATCATATCAATGTCATATTGTAAATAATATACAATTATTCTCATACATAGGAATAACAAACCTGCATACTCAAGATGGGTATACTGTATATATAATAATGAATACATTTATAACTTTCCTGACACTTCTTTACAATAAGTCCAAAGGAAAAAGATTACAATATATACAAGGTGGAAAATATAAATATATATATATATATATATATATATATATATATATATATATATATATATATATATATATATATATATATATATATATATATATATATATATATATATGTCGTACCTAGTAGCCAGAACGCACTTCTCAGCCTACTATGCAAGGCCCGATTTGCCTAATAAGCCAAGTTTTCCTGAATTAACATATTTTCTCTAATTTTTTTCTTATGAAATGATAAAGCTACCCATTTCATTATGTATGAGGTCAATTGTTTTTTATTGGAGTTAAAATTAACGTAGATATATGACCGAACCTAACCAACCCTACCTAACCTAACCTAACCTATCTTTACAGGTTAGGTTCGGTTAGGTAGCCGAAAAAGTTAGGTTAGGTTAGGTTAGGTAGGTTAGGTAGTCGAAAAACATTAATTCATGAAAACTTGGCTTATTAGGCAAATTGGGCCTTGCATAGTAGGCTGAGAAGTGCGTTCTGGCTACTAGGTACGACATATATATATATATATATATATATATATATATATATATATATATATATATATATATATATATATATATATTCGTGGCATAGCAAAAGTAGCAGCCTACGTGCTAATGGTACACATACCATTATTGGATTAAACACAATGTACTGTAGAAATGACCCTTAGATT